GTTGTTTTAAAAAGCGATGATCTTAATTGTGATAGAACATAACAATAATAAATGTTCTCATATATTTGATGATAATAATTTTAATTTTTTTCGAAGTTATTGATTTGCATTATTTTCAAATAAATAATAATAATAATAATAATTATTAAAGAAGAGGTACATTTGATAACGCAGTGTTTACTCCGACATCTAGTATAATGTGATGATGCACTCTCCCATCGAGTTCGATGTATCAGGTTCCGACGACTACGAACTAATTATCTATGATGGGACCTGACTTTTGAGACCGGCTCAAGAATTGCACAAAAGATGACAAACAGTACAGGATAATGTATTGTATCCAAGTGCAGCAGGAACACTGTTAGCTGTCTAGTATAATACATACATACATACATACATACATACATACATATATATATATATATATATATATATATGTGTGTGTGTGTGTGTGTGTGTACTTCGGGTAGATGGAACTCGTCAACCCGGAAGGATTGTCTATCTAATAGAAGGAAAACTATGATTATAAATCTTTTCTGTCTTGCGGCCATAACCATTCATGGGAAAGGCTATGGGACTAAACCTTAAGGAGAGAGACGGTCGCTCCCATGTAGGCCTGTGCAGCCATAACAGATACTGCGTCCCAACTAGTGGTTGAGGCACGACTTTTATACGTAGATCCAAGGTTTCTTGAGATCGACGGATGCCATACATTATATACAACTAAAAAATTAATTACATAATAATAATAAGGATAACAACGAAAATAATAATAATAATAAATGCATAAATTAACCTCCCAATGAAATAGAAATATTATTTTAAAAGAGATGATTATAATTATGATAGAACCTAAATATATAAAGGTGAATTTATATAGCAGGTGTAACAGAAAATTTGTCCAAATCGTATAACAGCATAATTTTCCATTTAAAAAAAATAAATGTTTGACATCTAAAAACCATTGGTCGTAAGAATCATTGAAAAATCATTTGCGTTATTCAGCTAGAAATAGGATAGATTAAAATTGTTTTCTGTCAGACGCACTGTCTTTACAAATGAGCTATGCTGAGAGGAAAAAGATCATTCATGCCTTCAGTGATGGTACCAACATTCAAACTCTGGCTTCCATCTTCAAAATTCATTCAAGATCCATCAGGAGAACAGTGAAAAAGTTTTAAAAAGAGGGAACAGTAAAGAGGAAAACTAGATCAGATCATAACATGGAGAGAGATCATCATTCCAACGAAAAAGAACAGTTAGAGTAAAAAAAAAAACAACTCAATCCCTAAGATGTTTGGCACGTGAGAGAAGAGATTTAGCTATGGCTGTCCAAAGAGCAGTGAAAAAAAATAAAAAATGAAATCGTACGTGTAATCGTTGAGGCAATTTCTTACACCAGGACAGAACGTTAGAAGGTTAGAGAGGGCGATGATCATCTTGAACAAGTTGGGAAATGATGCTGGAATAATATATATATGATATATAATAATAATAATAATAATAATAATATATATATATATATATATATATATATATATATATATATATATATATAAAGGAAGAGGTTATAGTAGTTTCAATGAGAAAAATGTGTGTATATTAAAGAGAAGAGCCTTACCGCAAATATTTTTGGATGTAATGTGGATATTTTTTTTTTTTTTGTAAATTATGCTTTTTTTCCATAATTTTACTACACGGGTTTCTGGTCTCGCGACCGTCATCAGGTAAAAGGCGGAGATTTCCACATCATTAAAAATAATTAATTTTTTTCTCCTTTATGTTTTCGATGTTAAATATTCTCGATAAGAAACATTCTCTTTTTTTGTGTTAGTAATACGGATTTCTTTCTTGAACTGCCAGTGAAGAGTTCTTCGCGAAGAGTCATAAAACATTTAAGATTGGTCCGAGAGAAATGATGGATTAGTTATCGGTATCTTATCTTTTAATGTTTTAATGACCCCTGTGTGTTCATAGATCTATTTCCATTTTCGTGTGTTTCTGTCAGCATGCGTGTATATATGTCTATATTCCCTCTCCATACGTATACATTGTCTCACTACGAGGAATTAATAAACACATTTGTACACATGCACACATACACACCCACCCCAGCACACACACCGTCTCACTACAAGGAATCAGTGCACACACACATACACATACGTGCACACACACACACACACACACATATATATATATATATATATATATATATATCTTTGAACTTGACATGACGTAGGTTTCTGCTTTGTGGGTGCTCCGTCTTCTGGCGCAAGCGAGGATCAGCCTGATCACATCACGGAAAATGACATTGTTTGAGGTATACCCAGCCGGTTTCCCTGGTATATATCTTTTTGTCTTTTTACACCGGTGGCACATCTAAACTTACAGCACCTGGTGTCCCCAAGCGGTCACCTATCTGGGTTGTGACTTGGCTTGACGTTGCTTAACTTCAGTGATCATACGGGAACGGGTGATTCAACGTGATGTGACCATAAGATTTTTCTCGTCAAAATACATCTTAGACATTGATAAACCTGCCATTCGTCCGTGCATTGAATATTACTGCCATATCAAGTCTGATACTCCGCTTATATACCTCGAGTTTCTTGACAAAATCCCAAGAAAGGTATGCAATATTATCGGTCCTGGCCTGACCTCTCGACTTCAGTCTCTTTCCTACCGTTGTAACCGAGCTTTTCTATAAATATTTTCATCACAAATTCTTCTAATGACCTTTCCCGGGTACCTGGACCGTCTGAACATAACCGTATTACTAGGTTGGCTACTATGTCTTAGCATTTTGTTGTTTGTTACTTTGATCAAAACGTATGTTCAAAGGTAATAGTTTCACTTCTCAACTGTGGATCTCTCATATTGTATCTTGCTTCCCTACCATCAATATTTTAAAAATAAATAAAAAGCAATGCCAATAGCCATCTTTGGTCTTCCTGAGTGCTGTTCTTTTTGGTCCTTTCTCCTTATTAAAGTCTTCTCATTCTCTTTCACTCCCAGTATCACCTTCAATGTCATTATCTCCTTGCTTGGAGTGAAATGAGTTTTCAAAAATCCCTTTGATTTTAGCCTATATTTGAATAAAAAATTATATTCACTTTACGTCGCACGTGCTTTTTTTTTTGTAATGCAAATAGAAACCACATTATTGTTATGGGTTCTTACCTATAACTACAGAATGAACTCTTCCTAACACTATGTATACTACGTCTGTCAAGAGAAAGGGACGAATCAAGCCGATCTTTTCGACTTGACGGTCGAACTCTCTGCTTTTGAGCAGAAAGGAACCCGGACGAGGTTCCGCCGAAGGGCAGAATCTCGTTCGGGGTGAAAGACCTACCCTGATCTCGTTTTTACGAGTCATACGGGGATATTTTTTGGCTGAGCCTCGGGCTCAGGAAACCCACGATAAAAATGACCTTGTGTCGCATGCAACCCTCGTGGGGGGGTGGCTAGATACTGAATCAGATCTTTTCGACTTGACGGTCGAACTTTGCTTTTGAGCAGAAAGGAACCCGGACGAGGTTCCGCCGAAGGGCAGAATCTCGTTCGGGGAGAAAATGACCAACCGATCTCGTTTATACGGGGTTATACGGGCATTTTTTGGCTGAGCCTACGGGCTGGAAACCCACGATAAACTCGGCCTTTGTGCCACATGTAACCCCTCGTGGGGCGGGGCTAGATACCGAATCAAGCCGAGCTTCTCGACTTGACGGTCGAACTTTCTGCCTCTGAGTAGAACGGAACCCGGACGAGGCTCCGCCGAAGGGCAGAATCTCGTTCGGGGAAAATGTCCAACCTGATGTCGTTTATACGGATTATACGGGCATTTTTTGGCCGAGCCTACGGGTTCGGGAAACCCACGATAAACTCGGCCTTGTGCCACATGCAACCCTCGTGGGGGGTGGCTAGATGCCGAATCAAGCCGAGAAGCTCGGCTTGACGGTCGAACTCTCTTCCTCTGAGCAAAGAGGAACCCGGACGAGGCTCCGCCGAAGGGCAGAGTGTCGTTCGGGGAGGTTGACAAACCCGATCCCGTTTATACGGGTTCTACGGGCATTTTTTGCCGAGCCTACTGGCTCGGGAAACACACGTTAAACTCGACCTTGTGCCACATGCAACCCTCGTGGGAGAGGTGGCTAGATATCGAATCGAGTCGAGCCGATAGTAGTTCACTCCAAACCAGACTGACAGTCATACTAACACCTTCCACATCTTGTATTATTATTTCGTGTAATATACCTTCGTTATTTCTACTCTTGTGTTCGTGTTGTTCTTCCTTGTTCCTAACCTGGACCATAACAATTATAAAGAATATTTTCAACATTGAAATATTTTTTTCTGTTGTTTCGTTCATAATATCATCAGCATCGTTCTGTAGATCTACATTTCTGTTGCTTCACGTCTCTTTTTCATCTGTCAGAGTATTGTCAAGCATTCAATGTGATATGATTATAATATGTCATATAAAATGACTGATATTATGTAGCAGTTCAGCACACTGTCCTTCGCATCTAACGAAATGATTATGTTTCTTAATTTGTTTACTTTTGGAAGCAATCTGTCACTATTCGAATGCTACTTCGAATGAATCTGTCATATTTTCCCGAGTCTGTTTTAAAAGTTCATTTTCTGCTCGTGATTATGTAAGGCCGTAGCAGCCTGGGCCTTGGCTTCCCACAAATTTTTACCATTTGTAGTATTTTTACATCATTTTATTTCAAGAAAATACAATGAAGAAATAAATAAAAGAAAGAAAAAAAATCAAAGCAACGAAGAATATAACTTTCATAAAACCCCGATTAAATAATTCTTCCTTAAAGGTGTACATTGATGGCAATTGCCCTTTTATCGCGTGGTTGAGTTTTCATTTTAATTTGGAATTGTGGTGAGTTCAATAAAATAAAATAGAATATAAAAATAAAAATGTACAAAGAAATAGAAAAGAATGCAAATTTAATCGAAGCATTTGCTTTCCTTTAAAATCCTTGTCTCATTTTCCATCTTTCACTCCCTCTCTCTCTATATTTCTCTCGGAAGAAGACACAAGGACGAAACCCGGCCGAAAAACACCGGATATTGACGGTTCAGTTGATAAATAATTTGTGTCAAAAAATACAAAAAGATTGTAGGATTCACACATAACTTCCGCTACAAAAAATAAAAAAAAATAAAATGAGAAATGAACCTGAAAAAGAATTTCGGCCAATCAAATAATTTAACAAAAAGAGATTTGCATGTCTTTGGAGCCTCACCAAAAGGTATAGAAACTGACGCCAGCAGGGAGACAGCGAGAGGGAAATAATTTTCGTTATCCTAACATACAAAGGACTCGCCACCTATATGTTAAAATAAAAAAATATACTTTATTTGTTTATACATTTGAATTAACTCCAAAAGAAAATCACATCGAAGTCTCCTTTTTGGGAAACTTTCAAGTCACAATCTACATATAAACACTAAAACCTCAGTATTGAAATATACACTCCGTACCAAATTATTATCGAGATAACTTTTTTCTAATATTTCAAAAACCGTCCAATCAATTCACACAAATTTTTCACACAATGTTGGCAACACTGACCTGTGCAATCACTGAAATTTTCGTACTGATCTGCGCAATGTAAACAAACTGGCGCCATATTTGTTATCAGCACGGTGATTTGCACGTGCCAAATTATTAGAAAAGTCTAAGAATTTAGTGAAATGATGGGCCGTAAAAGCAGTTTAAGGGATGCTGAAAAGAAAATTATCACCTCAGAACTCTCAAACGGTAAATCTATCCTAGAAAAAAAATTTAGAAAAAAAAAAATATATCGATAATAATTTGGCACGCAGTGTAGACGGGAGATTACCTTGTAGTTTTATATTTTTAGACCCAAATGAAAAAGAAATAAGTACAAAAAAATATCTTTTTCTTTCATTATTTCTTTCTTTTTATGTGCCATGACCTTTCAGCACGTAGGCGATCATGGCTTTCCACTTCCCTCTATCGGTTGCAGCTCTCAACAAGTTCCTTTCTTCTGCTTCCTCCCCCAGATCACGTTCTGCCATCTACTTGTTTAAGCCCGCCAGGTATGTCACGCTTTGTTTTCCCTTATATCTATTTCCCTCTATTCAACACGTATCTAATTCTCCTGACCCTCCTTCCTCATTATGTGTTCCAGAAACTTCAGCTGCCTCTTCCTGATGGTAAGTAGAAGCCTTCTTGTTTCCAACCTCTTTAAAACCTCATCGTTGTTCACACGCTCGGTCCATGATATCCTTAGCATCCACATCTCTGTCGCCTCGAGTCTCTTCTTCATCGTTGAAGAAATCGTTCAAAATTCGCTGCCGTAAAGAAGGACGGATGTCAAGTAACAGCTCAGTATTCTTTTCTTTGTTATCAAAGAAATCGTCTATTTTTCCCTGAAGACATTAAAAAAAAAGCTCTTTCATTTGTGAAACAGACTGTTCTCTATTATTTCAAAGATTATTTCTGCCGATCTAGAGGCACTGGAAATTTTAAATGTTCTTGCCGCTAACCATGGTAACAGCCTTTGATAACTTAAGCCTTAATTCTAAATGTTTGGGCCTCCACCGCAAAACAAAAAAAAAAACGCATTTGTCTCTGCTACGGCTCTGTTCTGACGAGTCCAATTAATAACTTGTATTTTGGCCTTCACTTTAGTCTTCCTAATTCCGTGTTATTTTATCTCATCTCCTATTTCTTGCAGTTTTCTCTCTGTGTCTGCCATCAACACTGTGTCATCTGCGTATCTTGTGTTGTTAAGATTCTGCCTACCAATATTAGATCCTAGCAGGATTTACACTTCTCCTTTTGCTTGTCAGTGACTACATTAGGGAAGCTTTCCCTTCATTTTATACGCAGGGATACGCTTCGCATTTTTCTTTGTTAAGCAATATAATCTATCCTATACCAAAATTTAACATTAGCTTAACTTATAGACTTCCCAGAATCTCTATTTCGATCGCTTCACATAAAGTATCTTGTGATCTCTTTTCGCTCCAGATATGGTGTGCCGTATTTTAGTTTCCTTTTGATGTATCTTGTGTTTCTCGAGTCTGAGTAGAAAAAAAAATGGCTATTTTATTTCCTTTTTATTCGTTTCAACATTTATATGGAATGTTATAAATTCGCGCTTTTCACATACACTTTTCTCGTAAGAATCTAATATTAGTAACGACGTGTCAAAGAATAGTTGCGGAGATGAAAAACACTGTGTATGATATTTTGGGCTTTTTTTAAATAACAGTTCAAGTTAAAATAAACATATGTGCGTTTCATGAGAATGTTTATAAATGCGCTAGTTCTTTTCTTTGTCCATCGTAAATTATATACATCATTTGAATTAAAGTGGGGGAACTTCTTTAGAACATATACACTGGCTAGATTATAAAGGTACATTTCACCTATGTCGTATGGATATCTGAGTTAGAAAATTATAGGAGGGCGGATCAGCAAATACTCACATATTGATT